AAATTGTCGTGGATGTCGCTGCAGCTTTTGACTTGTAGGTGCAAGCGTCGGTGGTCATCGCGTCGTCGCTAGAGCAATGGAGTCGTCGCGTGTGTGTGTGTGTGTGTGTTACGTGTTGCTGTTGCCGTCGCCTGGGTGGGTCTGGTTCTGCTTGGGCTTCGGCGGTGCTTTAAAGATGGTTGGCGCTAGGTTACGCTGCGGCGCTGCTTTGAACGGTGTGGAGGTTGCGGACGCGAGTCTCCGTCAGGCGCTGTTCGCATCCTGCTTGGTGCGCGCGCGATGGCGACGTATTTGTGGAAACGCGGGCCGCCGATGTCGCGAGCGACGATGCGTCCTAAACTGGCGATGTCGGTCCGCGGGGCTGGTATGTTAATGGCGTGTAGCCTTGTGCCAGGCGGTGCGTTGCAAGGGAAGTATACCTGCCTGGTGGCGTATGTCTGCGGTGCGAGGTTATTGGTTGGTATTTATTGTAGCCACTGTTGTGTCATGGCGTCTTCGTGTGGAGGGCAGACAATGGGGATCCTGAATGTAGGTGGCGGTGGGTATAGGGGAGTCGAATGGCGTGCTGTGGGCATCAAAGCGGTGCGGACCTTTTTGGGTGGTGCTTTTGGTGTGAGAGTAGACGGGCCAGTAGATGGGCAGAGCAAGGTTGACCGCTGAAGTGGTGTTTTTTTTTCTGCGGGTGGAATCGGTGAGGGTGCAGGTGTGTTCGGTCTTGTTTCGGGTCTGTCGTTAGTCGTGTGGGGCTCGTTCGTGTTGTCGTCGTCGCTAGAGCTGTTGTAGATACGAAATGGCTGGTCATGTCTAGCAAAGCTGGGTGATGCAGTCGGGTTGCATAGCTTGCGTTGTTTCGAAGATATTTGCCAGTCGTAACTCACTTTGTCGTTGGCGTTATGGCAGGTGTTGAACCACTGCGAGGACTTCCTGGATGGCTTGTATGTTGTTGTTGTTCAGTGGGGCAGGGCTGCCTGTGAGAAGCAGGTGGAAGTGGCACTTGGTTGTGACTACCGCGAGTCAGGCAAGTTGCGTGAAGGCGGCACCGAGGATAAACAAACGTGGCGTGTCCAGCAGAGTTGGGCGAGCAATGGTACTTCGCTGATGTCAGCTGCGCGTTGGTGTGCTGGGGCTGGCTTCTATGGGCTGGCCTGCGAGCACGGTGAAGCAAGGAGCGAAGAGGGGGCTGCAGGTGAAGTAAGACAATGGAAGTGAACTGGACGCTGCAGTAAGGCCTGGATAACCGGAATGCGCGCACACCGTGGCTGGCGGAAAAGAAAAAGCTGGCTGGTATGTGAGACGCGTGGCTGGCGCGAAAATAGGGTGTCTTATCAACTTGCGCACGCAAGAACGACTGGCCGATAGTAAGATGCGGGGTAGCGTCAAATTCAACGTAAAGCTAGCAGCAACGACGGGCCAGAGGCGGAGGAACAGGGGCCACGAGCAACACAAGGAGATGATACCAGAAACCCGAATCATCCAAAGGATGCGCAGGGTGACTGCTGTCCGCATCAGTCGGTAGGGCATGGTCCCAGAGAGTGGAGGGAGGCCCAGCGGACTCGCTCGGCGAGGTCGGTAGACCCAGGCACACTCCGGGAAGGGAACGATGATCAAATGGAAAAACGATGACGACAACAAGAGTGGCATGAAGAGTAGTCGGGCTGCCGGCGGTGGTGCCTCCGTCTGGTGAGGCACAGTGCACGCGCAGAACGCGTTTTGCACGAGAATAGCAAAACATGTGCGGCCAGAGAGTGCTGATTGTGTCCAGACAATTCAATCTGGGCAGAGGTATGTAGCGACTGCGGTAGAAGGAGAAAGCGCTGGAGGAAGAAGAGGATGCTAGCCATGGATGTTATGCGGTTAATCGGCGTCTGGGTAGAAATTGTCGTGGATGTCGCTGCAGCTTTTGACTTGTAGGTGCAAGCGTCGGTGGTCATCGCGTCGTCGCTAGAGCAATGGAGTCGTCGCGTGTGTGTGTGTGTGTGTTACGTGTTGCTGTTGCCGTCGCCTGGGTGGGTCTGGTTCTGCTTGGGCTTCGGCGGTGCTTTAAAGATGGTTGGCGCTAGGTTACGCTGCGGCGCTGCTTTGAACGGTGTGCCGTGTTGGAGGTTGCGGACGCGAGTCTCCGTCAGGCGCTGTTCGCATCCTGCTTGGTGCGCGCGCGATGGCGACGTATTTGTGGAAACGCGGGCCGCCGATGTCGCGAGCGACGATGCGTCCTAAACTGGCGATGTCGGTCCGCGGGGCTGGTATGTTAATGGCGTGTAGCCTTGTGCCAGGCGGTGCGTTGCAAGGGAAGTATACCTGCCTGGTGGCGTATGTCTGCGGTGCGAGGTTATTGGTTGGTATTTATTGTAGCCACTGTTGTGTCATGGCGTCTTCGTGTGGAGGGCAGACAATGGGGATCCTGAGTGTAGGTGGCGGTGGGTGCAGGGGAGTCGAATGGCGTGCTGTGGGCATCAAAGCGGTGCGAACCTTTTTGGGTGGTGCTTTTGGTGTGAGAGTAGACGGGCCAGTAGATGGGCAGAGCAAGGTTGACCGCTGAAGTGGTGTTTTTTTTTCTGCGGGTGGAATCGGTGAGGGTGCAGGTGTGTTCGGTCTTGTTTCGGGTCTGTCGTTAGTCGTGTGGGTCTCGTTCGTGTTGTCGTCGTCGCTAGAGCTGTTGTAGATACGAAATGGCTGGTCATGTCTAGCAAAGCTGGGTGATGCAGTCGGGTTGCATAGCTTGCGTTGTTTCGTAGGTATTTGCCAGTCGTAACTCACTTTGTCGTTGGCGTTATGGCAGGTGTTGAACCACTGCGAGGACTTCCTGGATGGCTTGTATGTTGTTGTTGTTCAATGGGGCAGGGGTGCCTGTGAGAAGCAGGTGGAAGTGGCACCTGGTTGTGACTACCGCGAGTCTGAATGCTGCGCTGTTGCGAAAGTGGCTGGCAGATGCTATGCTGCCATGTCGTTGCCTGGTCGGAATCGTTGCTGGTTGCGCGCAGGCTTGTAAGGGGGAAGGTAGGTGTCGGCATGTATCACGTGCTTGAGTGTGAAGAGCTTGGTTCGACCTGTGGGTGAAGTCTGAAACTCGGGAGTGGGGGTGCGGGTGGGTCGGAACGTCGTGGAAGGTGTGGAAGCCATCGCTGCTGGCCTTGGCGTATTACAAGCTTGCTGTTGTCTTGTCCACGTGCCTGTGCCACCTTGGCAGGAGCAAATTTTCGTTAGGTAATTGGTACGTGTAGGCGTTGGTGGCTTCGCTGTAGTAGACGGCATCGTGCCATCGGTCGTCCTCGTAGCCATGCGCGGTGTGCGTAAGCAGTCCAACCGCTGAGACAGTGCATGTCGTGTCCTTCTCGTGGGGCCAACGATGTAAGGTAGAACTCCTGTGTTTCTGCTGCTCCGTCTAGCTTGCTCCATTGGTCGTCTTTGTCTGTGCTGCTGTCGAGGTCGGAGGTGTCGTCGACAGGTGTAAATACTGCATCTTGTCCTTGACGTGACTCCTTGGGTTATGGGGCGGAGGCGGTTGTGGTTGCTGCTAAGGTGCTGTCTGTGTCGGCGGTGTCGGTATCTGCGCCTTGGGAGGCGGTGTGGGTTCGTAGCTGGTAGTAGGTGGTGGCCTATCTTGCTGGTGCGCTCTTTGGGGCCTGAACACGATGTTCGGGATGCGTTGCTGTGGTGGTATCGGTGGCATGTTCCCCATGCAAAACAAACGCGCTTTGTTGTCGTTTTCGTACTGCCCTTGCTCTGGTATGAGTACCTGGGCTGTTTCTCTTTGAACAGTGATCGTGTCCGATGTTCGCGGGTATGATGACTCCGTCCGTGGTCTTGAAGTTCCTTGGAGGTCTGAACTGGACTTGTGGGCCGCTAGGATGTGGCAGTTGAGGCGTAGGCCTCGGTCGTGTAGTTGGGGTTACGGTGCTGCTGGACGGGGTGCGTGCTGGGGTGTATCTCGGTGATTGGTGTTGGGGCCAAGTGACAGATAATGTGTGCTGGTTTGGGGTTAGCCGCCGTGGGTACTGTCAGGCCGTAGTGAATGGGTGGGGTAGGTTCTTGAGGTGGGAACTTGTCAGGTTTTCCACGTATTGAACCTGTCCATGCGTCCAGCAATCCTCCACATTCGTAGTCCGATGCGCCATGTGGCTCGACGTCGTCGGGTTGTTCGTATGTAGAAGGTGCTGTGATGTGTCGTCGGCTCTTTTCCAAAATGCATGTGTCCCAGGGCGGGTGGAGTGTCGATGCGCCTGAGGTGTGTAGGGCGTCTGCAAGGTAGTTGGTTAGTGACTGTAGCTCTGAGCCTGATGCCACGTTGTTTTGTGGGTCGGTCATTGAGCTGAGGAACGGAGTCTTGTCGTCCATGGCAAACTTGGTGCGGATGCTGTAATCATCGTCGTCCTCCTCCTCATTTTCCTCCTCCCACTCTCTCTCTCTCTCTTTATCCGCCTCCTCCCACTCCGCCACCCCCCCAGACCCTCTCATCCACCCTGCGCCCTCACCCCGCACCCTCCCCCTGTCCCCCTCCGCCTGCTCCCACTCCAACTCCTTCCCGCTCCCCCTCTCGTCTCCTCCTCCTCCTGCTCCTCCTCCTCCAGGGGACAACAAAAACCGATACCGCTGCTCCCTGGACCAGTGCGGGACTGCGCTCTGACCAGGACTGCGCAGGGCATCCGGCCGTGGCCACAGGGGCCCTTCCTGGAAGAGCAGCCACATCGGCACCTGCTCCTGCTCTGGCCCTCCTCCCCTTTCCTCGGGCCGGGCGAAAAAGGGGGATCGCAAAGGTGGGGTTTGAGAATCGGCTCGCGCATAGCTGCTTTTCCCGGCGCCTCCCGGCGCCAAGAAGGCGGCCACGCGCCGAGGAGTGGGCCCCTCGGCGGGGCCGAAGCCAGCGGCATGCAGCAGCTTTCGGACCCCCCCCCCTCTCCTAATGCCCCCCTTCTGTTCGGCCCATGGTTCCCTCCTCCTCCTCCCCCTCCCCCTCCTCCTCCTCCTCCTCCTCCTCCTCCTCCTCCTCCTCGGCTGGGCGCCGTGGTTCCCGCCGCCAGCATCGTCATCGAGTTGCGGGGGCGCGGCCCCACCAGGGCCGAGGCGCCTCGGCCGCGCGCCGGGAGCGAGTGGGGCCAGGCCGGGCGCGGCCAGCTGGGGCCCGCGGCCGAGTCGACCGCTGGTCGGTGTTATCGAGGTGCTATCGAGTGTTATCGAGCTCGATCAAACTCGATAACATCTTGATCGCATTGCTATCGAGTGTTACCGAGCTCGATAGCACTCGATAGCAATGTAATCGAAATGCTATCGAGTGTTATCGAGGTCTTATCGAGTGTTATCGAGTGTTACCGAGCTCGATAACACTCGATAGCGCTCGTTAACACCTACGACTTGGGGTGCAGGGGTGACCATGGGGGGGCCCAAAAATATGCACCACCACCACCTCCCTCACCCCCTCCCTCCCGAGAAAGAGGAAGGGAAGATGAGGGTAGAGAAGAGAGGAGGAATCGACGTGGTGGTGGTATATATTCTTTGGCCCCCCATGATCAGACAACTGGAGATTAGCATGCGGCAGGTTTGTGCGGCGTCGGCGTGCGCAAGGGTTTTCGACAATGTGTCGATCGTTCCACCTTGAACCGATCGCGGCCCCGATCGTGAAAAGAATAATTCCGTCGGTATGAGGCATTACCATGCTTCTCAGTGCTTCCGCGTCGCTGAATCATGCGGAATTCAGCCTTGAACGCCTTCGCTGGCGTCGCCTGCAAACCATCGCCGCGTGAACCTACAAAACCATATCTCCAACGATATGATTCTTTCAAATCTGGACATTTCTCATTGATTTCGGCCTCCAGCACCCGTTGGCGGGCCAAGCGGCGAACAGAAACGGGTCTGGGGTGCAAAACATGCCCTGGGGAAAAGGTCGGGATCTCTGGGGCCGCGCATTGGAACAAAAACATGTCGGAGGACGTTTTCGGGCCTGGCTAGGTCTCCAGAGGACTCGCCATCGCTTGGACGTCCATTCCCCGTGCATTTGTCGGCTTCGTCTTGCATGTCTGCTGGATGACTCAAAATGCTCCTCGATGGGCCCTGCCGGGAAAAATTGCACACGCCCGAACGATGCCAGGAGGACCTCTGGGGGTCAGACCCGAGAGCGGGAGCAAAACTTGCCCCTGGCCCCGCTGCACAGCGCACGGCTGCGAATACGTGGTCGCACGGCTGCGAAGACGTGTCCGTGCAAGCACGTGCGCGCGGGGCAGAACTCTCGACGTCGGCACTGAGCTGGACCAGAAAACAAACGACACCACCCCACCTACGGCCCCACGGGCCGTAGCGTATACCTGGATATCTGGCGTGGGTTTTTGCATGGCATGCGCTACGGCCCGCGATGGGCCGCGATGGGCCGTAGCGCAACATGGAAGGCCGTAGATGGGGTGGTGTCGTTTGTTTTTTGGCCGAGAACGCTCGACGTCGGCACTGAACGCAGGGGCGAAGGCGGAGAACTCGAAAGTCCTCGGCCCCTCCGGGGCCCCAGAGCTGGACGACACCGGCGCGCTCCCTCGAAGCGCCGACCGTAGCCCTGCAATCAAATCTCGTTCCACGGGCCGAATTTTCGGCCAGCGCCCCTGGCGGGTGTTACTCGTCCTGGATCCGTTTTCGATGGCCCCGGGGCCCGGGAATGGGACCTGCAAGCCGAAATCGAAGAAAGACATCAGGTCCAAAGAGAAGCACAAGTTTAAAGATGAAGTTCAGAATTAGCCTGGCGAGGGGCCCAACCGTATGCAGTTGTGAGTAACGAAGTTGTGGGTGTCGTGTTCGGTGGAGCTCCCTGTGGGCTCACGAAGCGTGAGAGCGGTGAGCCGATATGGGTGGCGGGTACGCATGCGAACACCGCCACTAGGGCCTCCCGTGGGGCTCCCTATGGGGCATGAAACGTGCGACGGGTGTGCCGCAATGGGTGGCGGGGACGCATGCGAACACCGCCGCTGGGGCCTTCGGTGGAGCTCCCTGTGGGGGGCCACGAAGCGTGTGAGAGGTGTGCCGAAATGGGCAGCAGGGACGCATGCGAACACCGCCACTGGAGCCTTCGGTGGAGCTCCCCTTATGGGGCCACGAAACGTGTGCGGGGTGTGCCAGAATGGGTGGCGGGGACGCATGCGAACACCGCCACTGAGGCCTTCGGTGGAGCTCCCTGTGGGGCCACGAAACGTGTGAGGGTGTGCCGAAAGGGGGTGGCGGGGACGCATGCGAACATCGTCACTGGGGCCCTTGGTGGAGCTCCCCTATGGGGCCACGAAGCGTGTGAGGTGTGTGCCGCCATGGGAAAATAGGTGGCGGGGACGCATGCGAACACCGCCCCTGGAGCCTTTGGTGGAGCTCCCTATGGGGCCACGACACGTGCGAGGGATGTGCCGACATCGGTGGCGGGGACGCTTGCGAATACCGCCACTGGAGCCTTCGGTGGAGCTCCCTTTCGTGTGAGGGGTGTGCCGAGATGGGTGGCGGGGACGCATGCGAACACCGCCACTGGGACCTTCGGTGGAGCTCCCTGTGGGGGGCCACGAAGCGTGTGAGGGGTGTGCCGAAATGGGCAGCGGGGACGCATGCGAACACCGCCACTGGAGCCTTCGGTGGAGCTCCCCTATGGGGCCACGAAACGTGTGCGGGGTGTGCCAGAATGGGTGGCGGGGACGCATGCGAACACCGCCACTGAGGCCTTCGGTGGAGCTCCCTGTGGGGCCACGAAACGTGTGAGGGTGTGCCGAAAGGGGGTGGCGGGGACGCATGCGAACATCGTCACTGGGGCCCTTGGTGGAGCTCCCCTATGGGGCCACGAAGCGTGTGAGGTGTGTGCCGCCATGGGAAAATAGGTGGCGGGGACGCATGCGAACACCGCCCCTGGAGCCTTTGGTGGAGCTCCCTATGGGGCCACGACACGTGCGAGGGATGTGCCGACATTGGTGGCGGGGACGCTTGCGAATACCGCCACTGGAGCCTTCGGTGGAGCTCCCTATCGTGTGCGGGGCGTGCCGAGATGGGTGGCGGGGACGCATGCGAACACCGCCACTGGGACCTTCGGTGGAGCTCCATCTGGGGGTGTTCCGACATGGGTGGCGGGGATGCACGCGAACACCGCCACTGAGGCCTTCGGTGGAGCTCCCTATGCGGTCACGAAGCGTGTGAGAGGTGTGCCGAAATGGGCAGCGGGGACGCCTGCGAACACCGTCATTGGGGTATTCGGTGGAGCTCCCTACTGGGCCACGACACGTGTGATGGGGTGTACCGAGATGGGTGGCGGGGACGCATGCGAACACCGCCACTGGAGCCTTTGGTGGAGCTCTTTATGCGGTCACGAAACGTGTGAGGGGTGTGCCGCCCTGGGCAGCGGGGACGCTTGCGAATACCGCCACTGGAGCCTTCGGTGGAGCTCCCCTATGGGGCTACGAAACGTGTGAGGGGTGTTCCGAAATGAGTGGCGGGACGCATGCGAACACCGCCACTGAGGCCTTCGGTGGAGCTCTCTATGGGGCCACGAAACGTGTGAGGGGTGTACCGACATGAGTGGCGGGGACGTATGCGAACACCGCCACTGGAGCCTTCGGTGGAGCTCCCTATGGGGCCACGAAACGTGTGAGCGGTGTGCCGAAATGGGTGATGATGACGGGAGGGAGGAGGGGGGGAGGAGGAAGGAAGGAAGAAAGGAAGGAACGCGGGGACCGTCTCTTCAAAACGAAAACCCAACACCACATGATGGCTGGGAACAAAGAAGCAGCACAGAAGCATCATAGCATCGGAGATCAACATATTTTTGGGGCCCAGGCTGGGACCGATTTTCCTTTCTAGATTTAACTGATTTGTCCGGTCCCAGCTTCTCTCGTTTCCTGCGTTGGCTCCTCGAAGTGGAGCGGCAGAGTCTGGCAATCCGTTCCTTCCTTTGGCCTCCATTCCTCGCTCCTGCGCGCGCGTGCTGGCAGGGGGGAGGGCCGTAGCCACTTTGACTCAGGCCAGTCTGAAGAAGCGACGTGGTCGCTGGAAGCTGACCCAGAGCGCCTGCAAAAAGCGAGCTGCCCCCATTATAGGCTTGAGATCGTCGTTTGCTGAACTATGCGGTGCCTTGCGCGCGTGCGCTGCGCGATCGTCCTCGCGCTCTGGTGCCGCCGACCCTCTGGAGGAGAACGCCCCCCCCCCCCCCGGCCCGAGCGGCGGAACGCAAGAGGGGCTGGCGCGCCTCCGCGCCCCCATGCGGCAGACCCCGCCCCTCCTCCCTCCTCGACCCTCCCTGCCCTGCCTCCTCCGCGGAGGAGGGATTGACGAACCAACAACACACACACATACCCATAGGGGGATCGGAGAGGGCTATGGGTGCGTGTTGTCGGATGGGGGTCCCCGCTCGAACGGGAGCGCTCCCCAGGGTCCGACAGCCCGCACCCATACCTATAGCCAGCCCTCCTCCCAACGACCTCCCTATGGGTATGGGTGTGTGTGTGTCGTTCGTTCGTCAAGGGGTGGCGGCGCGAGGAGGCTCCTCCCTCCTCCCCCCTCCTCTTCCTGGGGGGGAGCAGGGGGCAAGCAGGGACCGCTGCCGCTACTCCGCGGACCTCCCCCCGGGGTGCGCTCCGACCAGGCTCCCGAGGCGAATCCAGCCATAGCGACGCGGGAAGGGCAGCGGAGTCACTATCCCTTCCTCCTCTCCTCTCCTCTCTCTCCTCTCCTCCTCCTCTCCTCTCCTCTCCTCTCTCTCTCCTCTCCTCCTCCTCCTCCTCTCCTCTCTCTCCTCTCCTCCTCTCCTCTCCTCCTCTCTCTCCTTTCCTCCTCCTCCCTCTTCTCCTCTCTTCATCGGTCCTCTCTCCCTCCGTCCTCCGTCCCTCCCTCCTCTCTGCCCGTGGCCGTGGCCGGGCCCGGCGCCGCCGTGATGCGGCGGCACGGCCGAGGTGGCGCCCTGCATCCAGTTGAGCTTGATGACCTCGGCACGCGCCGATCCCGCTCCCACTTCTGGTGCGGCCCGGCGAGTGCTGGAGGGGAAGGCAAGGACAGCTACGTGTGCTCGCGCTGCGCGAAGCGCGAGGCGCGAAAAACTGAGCGGTCTCGCGGCGCCGCGCTGGGGAAGGAGAGGAAGACGAGGAGGATGATGATGAGGATGAGATTAGGCTGGACTTGTGAAGTGGGGTTTGGGGATGGTGAGGCCAACGGCACTCGTCAGTACGATCATCAACATAACTGTGCCAACACACTCTTCATATCCATCTGATTGGTTATGGTTTCCTCTCATACAATGACCCATGTCTGTTCCCATTTTCCTATCCGCTACCGTGCAGCTGATGAGTTGAGTTCGGGGCCAGCTGACAAGAGTCAGCTGAGTCCATGATGCTCCTTTGTTTACCTTACGCTCACAGCCAACCTAGACTACAAACTTCCGCATACATGAGTCTGCTAGCCTGATTCGGCATCTCAGAAGTCATGATCCTTTCTATCGAGCCGCCGGCAAAGTCAGTGCCGCCAGATAGTTACAAAGCCTCTACAGCAGGGCGATAAACACTTGTACCTGCCTTACTGTAAGGCACCATGGACAGCCCCACCTCCCCTATTTCCTCAGTACAATCATGCACCTGCGTGGTCTCTTTCACCTCCAATCACCCCCTATCACCTTCGCTGACTGTCGGCCAGATTACAATTCAGAACCCAAGCACACTACACTCTCACAGGAATACACCTTATGAAGTGTACACTCCACTTCACCAGCACCTCTTTCAAGTGAGCATCTACTTTAACCCGTGCCAGCCGTAGACCTATCTTCTTAGCAGCCTCGCTCGAGGCAGCCAGTGGTGTTCCCCTAGGGCTACGCGCACTATATCCCCACTCTCCCTGATGAACCCTCCCCCAACCCCATTGCGGCACACGCACGCGTTCGCCTTACAGCCGAATTCGCCTCACCACATAGACAGCGATGCGACCACCAGCAGCTTTTGTAGAATACCAGTTACATCTTTTCAGCCCTCTACAGTGCACCCTGAGGCAAAGGAGACATTTTCAACGCGAAGCCGCCTAGGGATCCAGCGCATGCACAACCGCACAGAGCCCGCTTTAAGAGAGAAACCAGACTGCCTATCCAACCAGCGCCAGCACAGCAACATCACCCAGCTACCATTGAGGATCTGTTTTTGGCTGGATTTATGGCTGTAGAAGATTCTGGAGGATCGATGGGGACACGGGCGATACAAGCATTGATCTCTGCTGGGGGAAATATTGGCACGTCGGTAGGCAAACAGTTCTTGCTCCCACAGTGGCCCACTGGCAACAAACACCTATACCCACAACTGTTGCCGCCCGCACTACGTTCAGTATATAATTGCCTACCACATTCATGCTCTCCCTCACTTGTTATCGTTTGGAAATTGTCGTCTGCCGATCATGATCACATCCATCACCTCCTCCGCGACCCAGTGAGCGCATGCTTCATGCCCTTGCGGGCTCTTTTTCTTGTCCTCTGGTTCCGTTGCCTTCTGTTGTCCAGCTGCGCTCACCTAGGTCTCAGTTGTCGGCCACAACGCCTTAGGGCCTAAGTCGGTACCTTTTCACTCTGCCGCATGTTTACCATCCTGACGCTACGATCCCAATCGATCTAAATTTGCCTAACGTCAAAAAAGTGAGAATGAGGAACCGCGATAGCGAGCCACGAACAACTTCGATTCCACAAAATAATTGTTAATGGTCATGTTCCGGTGGTGTTTCTTTTTTGAGAAGAAGGAGGTGCAAGAGGGAGGGGACGCCCGTAACATCTCGCGAGTAATCCGTGCACTCCGTGGCGATGCGCGGCAAGGTATTCTGACACCGAATGGTTCCCGTGGTCTCGAGAGCCACGCAGCACAGTAGAACAATCCGCTCCCCGTGAGGGGAAGAAAAGAAGGTGAAATAATATTATGCACTATTGCATCGGTCCAGGGTGGCCCTGCTTGAGCCCAAGCAGCCGTGGAACGGGGGTTTGGGCTGCGATGGGGACAATCTATAATACACATACTGATAAGGATACCGTGCATCGCGCATCAATGCTAGTGATCATTTTCGTGTATCATGAGACCAAGTAGCTTCCGCCAGGGGTCTCGAGAGCCATGCAACACAATAGAAAAACATACAATTCTCGCATCATCGAAATTCTCAGCGTAGCGGAAGTGACCATTGCCTGGTGCGTGCGGGAAGGCGTCGATCTCGATGCAGTGCAGGCCCCAGACGAGACACACACCACCCAAACAGGACGGTCCACGATAGGTCGAGCAAGACACGTGCCAAGAACTCAGCGATTCCACGGCTGAGGCCAACCCGATCCAAGGAGAGGGAGGAGGCAGGACTAGTTTTCCCTGTGGCGAAAACCTGGGATCAGCCAGGACGGCCCTCCGCCCGCTCCTGTGGAGCGGGTATGCGGGGAGGGTGGGAGGGAAAGGGGAAGCGGCCTGTCCGAGCCAGAAGGCTGCGGAAGGAGAGGAGGGGAAGGGGGAAGGAGAGGGAGAGCAAGCGAGCGGCGGGCCTGGAGTCAACCAGCTGCAGCAGGGCGCACCAGCCAAACCAGACTTCACGGCTGAGGCAAGCCCGATCCAATCAGAGGGAGGATCGGGCCGGGCGAAAGGGGGGGATAGCAAAGGGCAGGGTCGAGAATCAGCTCACGTAGCTGATTTTCCCAGCGCCTCCCGGCGCCGGAGGCGGCCATGTATGTATCGAGGAATGGGCCCCTCGGTGGGGCCGAAACCAGCTGCATGCGGCAGATTTCGTGACCCCCCCTTTCCCTATTCCCCCTATTTCGTGCGGGCCGCGAGGAGGAAGAGGCAGGAGTACTTTCGGGTGTTGCTAGAAGTGACCCTGGCCCAGGGTACCCCCAGGTTCTCGGGGAGGCCCAGGCGGCCTCCAGGGCGCCCCTCAAGAGGCCCATGGGACCCAGGGGCTCCAGCATGGAGCGAGAAGCTGGGGGCACCACCTTGGGCCAGGGGCACTTCTAGCAACATCCGATAATTTGGACGCCCGAAATGGGTACGGAAATAATGGATACAATGCCCAACAACAAATGTCGTCCCAAACGAACAGCGGCCGCTGTTGGGCAGGCGGCCTTCTGTCTCGAATTGACACAGGCCGCGGCGGCGTGGACGGCGAGCCCTGCTCCAAATGAACAAGAACGGCTGTTGGGCATTGTACCACCCCGTCCACGCCTCTCCGCACGGGGGGGCCCACCCCCTCCCGCCCTCCCTCCCATGCCAGAAGAGAATCCAAGAGCCACTGGTGACGCAGCCTGGTGAAAGGACTGGAGGGCGTTCCCACGTGGCGAGCAGAAGGCGCTCGCCCGCGGTCCCACCTCCGACGGCTCGGCGAGGGGGAGGAGGCGGGCCGCGTACCCGCCGCGTACCCATTCTTTCCGTGCCCATCTCGTTCGTGCAGAGATATCTCTTCCCCGCGGCGAAGGCTTCTGGGATCAGCCGGGGCCGAACTCCGCCCGCCCAGTACGCGCACCCGCCGCAGAGCCCCGGGCGCCCACCGCCCTCCCGCGGCAGAGCGGAGGCCGCAGGGCGCCACGGGCAGGCTGCCGGCCGCGCGGGCTCCCCCCCTCGGGGCCTGCGCGCGGGACGGCAGGGCAGTCGGCAGAAGTGAGGGGCCTGCTCTCCACCACCACCACCACCACCACCACCACCACCACCACCACCACCACCACAAGTTGGATGGGGGGAAGGAGGAGGAGGCGGGGGGAGGAGGAGGGAGGAGGAGGAGGAGGAGGAGGAGGAGGAGGAGGAGGAGGAGAAGGAAGAGGAGGAGGAGGGAGAGGAGGAGGAGGAGGAGGAGGAGGAGGAGGAGGAGGAGGAGGAGGAGGGCCCCCTCCCCATTCAACTTCTGGTGGGGGTGGAAAGCAGGCCTGCCAAGCAAGGAGCACGCCGGGCTCCCGACGGCATGGGCCCCCCTCGGGGCCGACGCGCCTGTGGGTGGACCGGTGGGCTCCCCGGCAGCCCACGAGAGCGCGACGCCCCGGTGCCAGGCCCGGGCCCAAGGCAAGTGCGGTCCAACCGGGGCCCTGCTCCCCAAGAAAGGAGCCGACCAGCCACAACTGGGGGAGCTGTGGTCCATACCTCCCTCCCTCTCCCCATCTCTCTTACTCATCATCGTTCCTCTTCAGGCTGCAGGGGCCGCCTTTCCACGCGCAGGCGACTCACGCCCGCCATTCCGGGGCACAAGGCAGCAGTGACAGCACGATCCAGGCACGTCACATGGATTCACCACGGCGGCGCGGAGAACTGCGGGCTTCCGACCAGCCAAAACTGGGGGAGCTGTGGTCCTTACCCCCCCTGGGGGGAACCCATCGCATCGACGATCTCTCGAGGGGGGTGTCGAGATCGATGGGTCCCCCAGGGGGGTAAGGACCACAGCTCCCCCAGTTGTGGCTGGCCTGAAGGAGGTCGGCGCCGCGGGTCGGCACCCGAGCCCGCGGGACCCTCTCGACCTGACATGGCCGCACCCGGGGCTCCTGCCACCCCGAGGTGGAAGCCCTCGGGCGCGGCCTAACCGACCCCTCGCAAACCACCCCCTTCCGTGACGTCCTCCTCGCCTTCCGAGCTCCCGCCCGGCCGCATAACATACGTCCTGGGGCGAGGCGAGGGGGACGTCACGGAAGGGGATGGTTTGCTAGGGGTCGGTTAGGCCGCCTCTAAAGCCCCCCAGCCCATCCAACAACAGTCACTAGGCGAGTTCCCCTGATCAGGGAAGTGTAGCAGCATGCAGTGGACCCAAAGTGGGGTAGCCGTTACCTCCAGAGGAATGGGGAGGAAACAGAAGAGGAGGAGGAGGCGGAGGAGGAGGAGGAGGAGGATAGGGGAGGAGGGAGGGAGGAGCGAGAGAGGAGCGACGGATGAGGGAACTAGCCGGCAGGGCAGGCAGAGGGAACTCGCCGCCCAAGGGGATGCCGTCGGAGGCTGGGGTCGGAACGACAGAGGCCGCGGGGGCCCCAGCGCCCCGCTCCAGGCGAGCGCGCCCGACCCCCCCCTCACGGCACCACGCAGCGGCGCGCGAGCGAAGGAGGGAGCCGACGGGCGAGGAAGCGGAAGCGGAAGTCTGCCGTCGCTGCGGGGCGGCCCTACATGGGCAGCAGGCGCGCCAAACGCGCGGGCCTCCAGGGGGGCCGGGTTGCTACACCGCGGTGTAGGAAGGAAGGGAGAGGAGAGGAGAGGAAGGGGAAAACGGAGGGAGAGGAGAACAGAGGGAGAGGAGAGGGGAGGAGAGGAAGGGGAAGGAGAGGAAGGGGAAAACAGAGGGAGAGCAAGCAGCCCGAGAACCCGAGTCGCGGCGAAGCGAGGGGCTCTGACCGAGCCCGGGACTCTGGGGAGGCCTGCGAGAAGCGTGCACTTTTAGCAGGTTGGCCTCTCGGGATTGCACGGCGTCCAAGACGGCCCAAAAGAGGCTGCTGAGGTGGCCCCAGGATGGCCCAGGAGGCTCCCAAAGGAGCTCCAAGGCGGCCCACAAGGGTCCCCAAATGGCCCAAGACACCTCCAGGACGGCCCAAGATGTCCCCAAGATGACCATAAGAGGACCCCGATTGAGGGAACGCGAGCTGACTTTTCGAAGTCTCCGCGCCCAAAGGACTTCGTAGACCGCCAGCAGGCACTCCGAAGACAGCCCGAGAGGCACCCAAGACGGTCCAAGAGGGCTCCGAGTCGCCGACAGATGGGCCCAAAACAGTCCCCAAAAGACCCACATGACCCCCCACGCTGCCCGCTCCAAGTGAATCTCGAGGCAAACAACGATTCAAAAGGGCCAGCGGATGTGGCGTCAGTCTGTAGAACCTCCTAGAAGCAACCGACAGTCCTAGAATATGAGACCTGCACACCAAAACAAGACTGCCTCAACCTGGAATGCTCCAATCCAACTTCGCTCAAAACACATATCAGCCAGCGTTGACTCCAAATAGATAGGAGGACAGGAGGAGGACGAGAGGAGGATGGGACGAGGACGAAAGGAGGACGGGAGGAGAACGGGAGGAGACAACTCAAGCAAGCGCAAGCAAGCAAGCGGAAGCAAGCAAGCGCAAGCGAGCAATAACAAGCAAGCAAGAGTCAGCGATCAAGTGCAAGCAAGCAAGGGCAAGCAAGAGCAAGCAAGCGGAAGCAAGCACACAAGAGCAAGCAAGCATGTGCCATTGGAAAAGAGGGGGGTGCTATTGGAAGAAGGGGGTGTGCCATTGGAAAAAGGGGGGGTCCTAAAGACCAATACTTATGATGAGCTGGGACTCCTCTAGGGCAAGTCTGCTTGAAGAAGAACTCGTAGAACACCCCTGGGTTGACTTACAAGCAGGTCAAGACGCTTCGCCACAGCTTGAACCCTCCTCCTCCTCCTTCTGCTGCTTCTCCTTGCACCTTCCGCCGCCTCCTCCTCCTCCTCCTCCTCCTCCTCCTCCTCCTCCCTCCTCCTCCTCCCCGCCTCCTCCTCCTCCCTCCTCCTCCTCCTTCTCTCCTCCTCCTCCTCCTCCTCCTCCTCCTCCTCCTCCTCCTCTCCTCCTCCTCCTCCTCCCCGCCTCCTCCTCCTCCTCCTCCTCCTCCGCCTCCTCCTCCTCCTCCTCCTCCTCCTCCTCCTCCCCGTCCTCCTCCTCCTCCTCCTCCTCCTCCTCCTCCTCCTCCTCCTCCTCCTCCTCCTCCTCCTCCTCCTCCCCCCGCCTCCTCCTCCTCTCCTCCTCCTCCTCCTCCTCCTCCTCCTCCTCCTCCTCCTCCTCCTCCTCCTCCTCACTCCTCCTCCTCCTCCTCCTCCTCCTCCTCCTCCTCCTCCTCCTCCTCCTCCTCCTCCTCCTCCTCCTCCTCCTCCTCCTCCTCCTCCTCCTCCCGTCCTCCTCCTCCTCCTCCTCCGCCTCCTCCTCCTCCTCCCTCCTCCTCCTCCTCCTCCTCCTCCTCCTCCTCCTCCTCCTCCTCCTCCTCCTCCTCCTCCTCCTCCTCCTCCTCCTCCTCCTCCTCCTCCTCCTCCTCCTCTCCTCCTCCTCCTCCTCCCGCCTCCTCCTCCTCCTCCTCTCCCCGCCTCCTCCTCCTCCTCCTCCCTCCTCCTCCTCCTCCTCCTCCTCCTCCTCCTCCCGTCCTCCTCCTCCTCCTCCTCCTCCTCCTCCTCCCTCCTCCTCCTCCTCCTCCTCCTCCTCCTCCTCCTCCTCCTCCTCCCTCCTCCTCCTCCTCCTCCCCCTCCTCCTCCTCCTCCTCCTCCTCCTCCTCCTCCCTCCTCCTCCTCCTCCTCCTCCTCCTCCTCCTCCTCCCCCCATCCTCCCCACATCTATCCTCTCCCCCATCATCCCTCCTCCCCCGACGCCTCCTCACACCCTCGAGGGCGTGCGCCGTGGCCAGGTGGCCAGGGCGATGCGCTGGGCCGCGGACGTCCTCCTCCTTCATGTTGCTGTTGACCTCGGGCGCTCCGCCCCGCGCCCGTCGAGCCCATCCCCGACCCCAGCTGCTGCACCACGCGGAGCGAGGGAGGGAAGAAGGTGACTTACCTACCAGACCACCCCAACCCAACCCGAAGACTCGAATTTGACCCGAATTTCAGGTTGGGGGGGGGGTACGGGTTCCATCTGTATATATATATATATATATATATATGTATGTATATATATATATATATATATATATATTTCTCAATGTTCCCCGGCCCCCCCCACTGGAAATGGAGGGCAAATTGGGCTTTCGGGTTGGGGTGGTTTGGTGGGTGGTGGGAAGGGAGGGCACGATCGAAGCTGGGAATCCGATCGAGTCGGAATGCGCGTCGGACCGGGCCGCATCGGCACGGAGTCGAAATCGAATCGGATCGGCTGCACAGCAGTGCCATGTGAGCATCGGACCGCATCGGATCGTCGGGAAATCGGCATCGAATCAGACAGAACTGGCCGAAGCCGATATCGGCTCGGATCGAACAGAACTGGCTGAAGCCGATGTCGGCTCGGATCGATCGGATTGCAAAGGGGCCCTTGGAGGGAGGGAGGGGAGAAGGAGGTGGAGGAGAAAGGAGGATCGGCGGCGAGCGAGGGGGGGGAGTGAGAAAGGGCGGGCCTTCTCGGAAGGCTCGGAAGTCCCCAACCTTGTGAGAAGTTTTCGAAGCCGTCCCCGAAGACGCAGGCAGCTTCTCAGACGGCGCGAGGGCTTCTCAGAAGCCCCGCTGCCTTCCGAGAGGGCCTCCTCTTCGCTTCCCTCCCTCGCTCGCCGCCGGCGGGAGGAAGGCGAGGACAAGGGGAAGGGCAGGAGCACGACCACACGCCCCTCTGGAGCCCGCCGCCGTGCTGCTCGAGTGCGGCGGGGAGGAGAAGTATCTGCGTTGGGGGACCCTCCACCGAGCCATGCCCGAAACGTGTCTCTGTGACTCTCGCGGAGGCCGACTGCGACTACCTACCAAACCACCCCAACCTAACCCGAGGACCCGAATTTCGGGTTGGGGTGGTTTGGTGTCACATGTTTTGTTCAACGTCCCCGACGCCCACCACCTACTTGGGATAGAGGGCAGGTTGGGCCGTTCGGGTTGGGTTTGGGTGGTTTGGCGGGTGGTGAGACTGCTCCCCCGTGCGCAGTCTATGCTCCCCAATCAGCGCTTGCACTGCAAGGGGTCCTAGCGGATACGAGCGGAACTTTGCATACGTAACAGGCCGATCCATTCCTCGGGCAGAGTACGCAGAATTCTGCCGTCGTCGGCACACACGTGCGTAGCCGCAGCTGGTGCAATAACGAGTCGTTACCTCCTCGTGGTGGCTCGGCCACTTGCGTCATGCCACCAACATGTAGCCTCTCGTGGGCCGCTGGGACAAGCCCCACTGGCAGTGTCCAGCCTGCGGGGATGGCCACGGGGTGACCAGGAGTTTGAAAGGCATCAGAGATCGCAAGCTCGACCGCTCAGTCGGCCCCTCGCCATCGCTCGGACGTCCATTCCCTGTGTTTTTGTTCGGCTTCGTGCGTGTTTTTTTGGCCAAATGATCAAGGATGCGCTTCGATGGTCCTCGCCGAAAGAAAGATGCACACGTCCGAGCGATGCCAAGGCCCAGGCACAGCGAAGGAACGGCCTTGAGCTCCAGGTCTCCCCGACGGTGCTGCCTCGGGACGGCGTGCACTCCCGGCCGCTGCCTCTCTCAGGAGCGCGTGTGCCTGGACGAGCGGGGCCGCTGGGACGGCGGAGGCAGACGCTCCTCCCGAGGCCTCGCGTGCGCATCCGCACTCAGGACGGCCTCGGATACGACCCAGCATCGTTTCCCAACGCGGCCCGCTCTCGTCTTCGCAGCCCAGGTGGCCATCTGGCTGGAGCGCAGCTGGAAGCGCACAGCGGCCCCCTTCGGCCCGTCGATCGGCCAAATGTGCGCCTCCGTCCGCATGCTCGGATACGCCCAGTCCACGGCCTTGGCATCGCTGGCGTGGCTCTCGACTTTGTGGCACAGCAGCCTCCGCGTCTCAAGGTCAGGGGTCAGTTGATCGTCCTGGGATTGCTGGAGGGAGGAGCCTCCAAGCCTTCCTGGAATCCTTTGGGGTCTTTTTGGGCCCGTCTGGGGCCATTTCGGCCGTCCCGGGTCCCTCTTGGCCCGTCATGGGGGGCTGAGCCCGTCTTGGGGCCCTTTTGGGGCCCTCTCCGACCATGTAAGGATCATCTGGTGGCCTCCTCGGGACTCCCTGGGGACTCTTGGGCCGTCTTGGAGCTCTCTTGTGCTAGTTGAAGCTCTCTTCAGGCCGTCTTGGGACCCTCTTGGGCCGTCTGGGGCCGATTTTGGAAGCCTTTGGGGCCGTCGTGGCCGCTGCTGGGATTGAAAAAGCGAATGCCCAGAAAATCGACGTCCTTCCATCGAACATGTTGGATTTTTGCCCTTGGGGGGCCTTGTCGGCGGCCTCTTGGACCGTCTTGAGGGCCTTTGTGGCCGTCCAGGTCTTGGCCTGTCTTGGAGCGCTCGCGGGCCGTCGTGAGGCCATCGCAGTGCGCTCTTCAGCCATCCCCCAAGCAACCTGGGGCGTTTTGGGAAACTCTTAAGCCAGTTGGGGGGCCTCTGGGGGGTCCGGGGCCCCTTCTGGGCCCTCTTGGAGCCATCAAGGCCCCCCCCGGCGGCGCCGGGCCCCCATGCACACCAGAGGTCGTGGTTCCGCGCCCTCCCCCGGCCTACTCTGTGGTTCCGAGCCCTCCCCCGGCCTACTCTCTCTCTCTCTCTCTCTCTCTCTATATATATATATATATAAATACACGTATGTATAGACCTACTGTTCTAGTAGTAGAAGTAGTAGTAGAGGTAGTAGAGGTAGTAGTAGTAGTAGTAGTAGTAGTAGTAGTAGTAGTAGTAGTAGTAGTAGTAGTAGTAGTAGTAGTAGTAGTAGTAGTAGTAGTAGTAGTAGTAGTAGTCGTAGTAGTAGTAGTAGTAGTAGTAGTAGTAGTAGTAGTAGTAGTAGTAGTAGTAGTAGTAGTAGTAGTAGTAGTAGTAGTAGTAGTAGTAGTAGTAGTAGTAGTAGTAGTAGTAGTAGTAGTAGTAGTAGGGCTAACCGGGGGATGGTGGCCGGGGCGGCGTGGGGGGGGCGCGGGGGGGCGCGCGGGGGCGCGCGTGGCGCGCGAGGCGCGCGGGGCGTGCGGGGCCTCCTGGGAAGCCGTCTTAGGCTTCCTGAGAGGCCTCTTGGGTATCCTGGGAGGCTCCTTGGGCCTCCTGAGAGGCCTCTTGGGCCTCCTCTTGGGCCTCCTCTTGGGAGGCCTCTGGGGCTTCCTGGGAGGCTTATTGGGCCTCCTGGGAGGCCTATTGGGCCTCCTGGGAGGCCTCTTTGGCTTCCTAAAGCGTGTGTGGGCCTTCTGGGGAGCTCCTTGGGCCTCCTGAGAGGCCTCTTGGGCCTCCTGAGAGGCTCCAGTGGCCTCCTCAGAGGCCTTTTGGGCCTCCTGAGATGCCTCTTGGGGCTCCTGGGAGGCCTCCTGGGGGGCCTCTTGGGCCTCCTGGGGGGCCTCTTGGGCCTTCTGGAAGGCCTCTTGGTCCTCCTGAAAGGCTTCTTGGGCCTCCTGAGAGGCCTTTTGGGCATCCTGAGAGGCCTCTTGGGCTTCCTGAGAAGCTTCTTGGGCCTCCTGGGACCTCTCGGGCCTCCTGGGGGGCCTCTTTGGCCTCCTGAGAGGCCTCTCGGGCCTCCTGAGAGGCCTCTTGGGCCTCCAGAGAAGCCTCTTGAGCCTCCTGAAAGGCCTCTGGGGCCTCCTGAGAGGCCTCTGGGGCCTCCTCAGAGGCCTCTTGGGCATCTTGGTCATACGTCATCAAACATCATGCATCATCAAACATGATACATCATACAACATCACACATCATCAAACACCATACACCATACATCATAGTACACCATCAATCACCATACATCATAATACATCATCATACATCATCGTACACACTACATCATACATCCTAATGGACCATCAAACACAATACATCATAACCCATCACCAAACACCATACGTCATACCAGACCATCAAACACCGTACACCATACATCATCATACATCATCAAACATCATGCATCGTAATACATCGCACATCATCAAACATCATACAGCAACCATCAACCATCAAACATCACCAAACATCATGCATCAGACACCAAACACCATACATAACCAACCATCAAACATCATCAAACATCAAGCATCATACAGCATCATACAACCCCATTCATCATCAAACATCAAACATCATACATCATCAAATACCAAACATCATACACCAGCAAACATCGAACATGAAACACCAACCATCATGAATCATCAAACATCAAACATCAAACATCGCACATCAAACACCAACCATCATTAAACACAAAACATCAAACATCATCAAACATCAACAAACATCAAGCATCACACCTCACACATCATTAAGCATACATCATTCATCATCAAGCATCAAACATCATACATCAAACACCAATCATAATTAAACATCACAATCAAACACCAAACATCGATCAACATCATTTATCATCAAACATCAATACCCAAAACCCCATTCAACATCAACCACCAAACATCGTACACCAAGAACCACCATACATCCGACATAATCAAACACCATACGTCAATCATCATACATCATCATACGTTTTCATACATCATCATACATCATCATACATCACCATACATCATTATACGACATCGTACATCATCATACATCATCATACATCATCATACTTCATCATACATCATCATACATCATCATGCATCATCATACATCACGCATGAAGCGCACACCCACACCCACACCCACACCGACACCCACACCCACAATCTCTTTTTTTGTTAAAGCCGTTGGAAACGCGAAACCTCCATCACCACCCTTAAGTCGTCTCACGGACGAACTGCCCGGCCACCATCCCCCGGTCAGCCCTAGTAGTAGTAGTAGTAGTAGTAGTAGTAGTAGTAGTAGTAGTAGGAG